AAAAACAGTCGTAACTCGCTCTTCTCTGTGCTGTTATAACGTCAAATGAAGGGTTATAACTCAAGGCAACCTGAGTAAGATTTAGTGCAGTGGTCTTCAAACTTGGCCACTTTAAGACTTGTGGACTTCACCTCCCAAGATTCCTCAGCCTCAGGGCTAGCTGAGGAATCCTGGGAGTTGGAAGTCCACAAGTCTCAAAGTGGCCGAGCTTGAAGACTACTGCTCTAGGATGCCCCACCCCTATTCTAGAACAAAGAAGAATGGAGAAAAGATGTCGGATTGCTTGGCAGAAATTGGACGACAGAACCCTTTGCGTGTAGTGGTGAAGGTGCCCGACTAGAAACCAGGAGACTGAATTCTAGTTTTGCCTTAGGCGCGAAAGCAGCTTTAGGCCAATCGCTGATAGACGAGTTTGGGTTGTGCTGGCTGAGGAATTCTGGGAGTTGAAGTCCACAAGTCTTAAAAGTGGCCAGGTTTGAAGATGTTGTGCTTCCGTGCCAGCCTGTGCTCCCAACAGCGGAGTCTGAGGAATCGGAGGAGGAGGTGGAGGAGGCATTTGAAGGGCCATCCGGAGCAGAGGGAGGCTCTGATGAATTACAGGACTCACGGTTTGATGTAGAGCCTGGGCCCTCCAGTCGTGTTCCTGATGAAGCTCAGCTGTGTGAGGAGAAGGAGTCAGACTCGGAGGACTCACACCTGATGGACTTGCTAACTGATGCTCGCACACGTCGTCAATTAGCGAGAGTAAATCAGCAGCAGTCAATACGGCAACTCCAGAGTAAAAGGAGAAGGCAATGAGAGGCAACGTCTTGGGACTGCTGTATAAAAAGAGGAGGTGTGGGCGGTGCTGGTGGCTGAAGGCAACCGTTTGCAAAGTGCTTCTTGGAATCCTGGTCTGTTTGTCTTGCTTGTGACTACTCTTCTGTTTGCATTGTGTTTCCTGTGGATTATTTCCTTCCTTTGGACTTAAGTTTTGCTGTTTGTGTTTTGGACTATTTGACAGGTTTGTCACCCATATTAAAAGGGGTTTGTTTTGTTTAAAAGTCTTCAGCCTATTTTATCAAAAGGGGTTTGGTCCTTGTGCCTTTAACAAGGATGGCAATTGGCTGGGATAGAACAGAAGACCCCTGATTTAGTCGGTTGGAAACTAGCATTGTTCTCTCCTGGTTATTTACATATAGCAGGGCCCATATGGTAGTGCCAGTTAAACATCTGTCGAATTTGCCCAAACTCTTTACTTCATACAGGTTCAAACCTGCAAAAACCTGCCGTTGTTGAGTTCTAGAAAGAAATACTTAAGTGGCTAAGAGCAGTAAAACATCTGCCTCCTAACCCCATCTCTTGTAAATCACCTACAGTCTGAGGTGTATATATATATATATTTATGCAAAAGTGCCATCTGGTAGGGATCAATCTTTGGAGAGCCTTGCTGAAGCTGGAATAAACATTGGCATAGCTCCTTCTTTCTTTGAAAAGTCAGGATGGGGGTGGAACTACCCATAGTCCTCGACTTACGACTGCAAGCCCCCCCGTCCCCAAATTTGTGTTGCTACACAGGACATAGTCATCAGCCACATCCCCAGGGAAGCAGAATATGACCTTTGGGACATAATAGGATTAACCCACCACCCTCAGAATAACAGAAAGGCACACTCAGACTTCGGTCAAAGTTCATGCCACAGGAACAACTCCAAACAAAAGGCTCCAGAGCAGTGGTTCTCAACCTTTTTAATGCCACGACCCCCAACCGGTCATAAGTCAAGGACTTCTCAACCGGTCGTAAGTCGAGGACTTCTCAACTGGTGCAGCACCGTTTGCAGAGTGGGACTTTTGGCGGGCTCAGCAGGGCAGAGACAGCCTGGACAATTCCTATTGGCTTTTGAAAGCCAATAGAATTAGACTCTATTCAAGAGAGTCTATTCTATTGGCTTTCAAAAGCCAATAGAATAAAAGGGAGTAGTACAGCTAAGGGAAAGGGGGGGGGAAAATGGCGGACTGCGTTGTTTGGCGACCCCCATGAAATGGTCGTTCGACCCCAAATGGGGTCCCGGCCCACAGGTTGAGAACCACTGCTCCATAGGGTATAAAAACCCACCACTCCCATCTCCACAGCCACCTTTCTGTCTGGCTCTGCTCCTCAATAAACTGCAACCTTCTTTAAAAAGCAGTCTCCATTTTGCTTATTCCCAGCTTGGACTGGACCCCGATGAGGATTTTTCTTTCAACACGGCCAAAGACCTTTCTGTTTTGAATGCAGCCGTAGAATTTTTATAGTTTGACCCTGCCTTTCCTCCCCATGTTTGTTTGCCAGCAAAGATTAGGGAGAAATAGGATGAGAAGGAGCTTTAGGTGAGATCAAGTCCTTTGATCCTTCAGGCTTGTACTTCGCACCCAACGTGATCGTGTTTTCATTTTTCAACATGTTTTCTTTGTTGGATGTGGAAGCCAAGCCAAATTTTGACAGGGCCTTTAATTATCATAGTAATAGTCATGGTGACAGACATGTTTGTGCAAATAACCAGCATTTCTCACCATCCTTTATTGCAAAAACAATAAAAATAAAACCTCGATAGGTGTGTGTATGTGTGTGTGTGTGAGAGAGAGAGAGAGAGAGAGAAACATTTAGTTATCTGTGCCTCATTCTGTTTGGGAGATGTTATATTATCTTGTAAACCTCCCTGGCTCATATAAAGTAGAATGGCAAAATTACATCAAAGCCGGAGAAAGAAAAAAAGTCAATTCTGTACTTAAGCCAGTATAATGATTTCTCAATGCAGGTAAAAAGGATGTGCGAACAGGTGTTCTAAAACCTGGTGTCCACTCAGCAGCATGCTATGTCTGCACAAGACACAAATAAGATTTTAATAATAATAATGATGATGATGATGATGATAAAGTTGGAAGGGACCTTGGAGGTCATCTAGTCCAACCCCCTGCTCAGGCAGGAAACCCTATACCATTTCGGTCAAATGGCTGTCCAGTCTCTTCTTAAAAACTTCCAGTGTTGGCGCATTCACCACTTCTGGAGGCAGGTTGTTCCACTGGTTAATGGTTCTCACTGTCAGGAAGTTTCTCCTTAATTCTAGGTTGCTTCTCTCCTTGATGAGTTTCCATCCGTTGCTTCTTGTCCTGCCCTCAGGCACCTTGGAGAATAGCTTGACTCCCTCTTCTTTGTGGCAGCCCCTGAGATATTGGAATACTGCTATCATTTCCCCCCTTGTCCTTCTCTTCATTAAACTGGACATACCCAACTCCAGCAGCTGTTCCTTATATGCTTTATCCTCCAGTCCCCTAATTATCTTTGTTGCTCTTCTCGGTACTCTTTCTAGAGTCTCAACATCTTTTTTACATCGCGGTGACCAAAACTGGATGCCGTATTCCAAGTGTGGCCTTACCAAGGCCTTGTAAAGTGGTATTAATACTTCACGTGATCTTGATTCTATCCCTCTGTTAATGCAGCCTAGCACTGTGTTGGCTTTTTTGATGATTTTAGAAGGATCCCAGTAAGTAATTTCTTTATTTTATTCTCCTTGGGTCAAGTGCTACCTGGAATCCTGTATCCAGTTCTGAGCAACACATTGCCTTAGATGCCAGGGCAGTCTCAGCCTTGGCAACTTGTGTGGACTTCAACTCCCAGAATTCAATTCTCCAGCCAGCCAGCCAGAATTGAATTCTGGGAGTCGAAGTCCACCCATCTTCCTGTCGCCAAGGTGGAGAAACACGACAGGTAGTCCTTGGCTTAACAATCATTCATTCAAGTGAGCGTTCAAAGTGACAACGAAAAAAAATGATTTATGACACTTTTTCACAGTTAGGACCGTTGCAGCAGCCCCATGATCACATGATCAAAATTCAGACGCTTAGCAACTGATTCATATTTTTGATGGTTGTGTGTGTGTGTGTGTGTGTGTGATGTGATCACCATTTGCAAACTTCTGACAAGCAAAGTCAACGGGGAAGCCAAATATGCTTAAAAACCACATTACTAACTTTTAACAATTGTAATAATAGTAGTAGTAATAATAATAATAATAATGATGATGATGATGTTGGGCGGGACCATGGAGGTCATCTAGTCCAACCCCTTGCTCAGGCAGGAAACCCTACACCATTTCAGACAGATGGCTGTCCAGTCTCTTCTTAAAAACTTCCAGTGTTGGAGCATTCACCGCTTCTGGAGGCAGGTGGTTCCATTGGTTAATGGTTCTCACTGTCAGGAAGTTTCTCCTTAGTTCTAGGTAGTGATTCACTGCAGTTGTAATACGGATGTTAAGTGCATGTGCCAATAACTGTGACAAGAAATGCTGTCAAATGGAGCGAAATTCACTTAATGACATAAACCTTGGGCTCAATTGTGGGGATAAGTCAAAGACTGCCAGTATTCTAGTGCCTTTATCTGTATGGCGCCAAATTGCCTAAAGTAGGGGTAGGCAACCTTGGCTCTTTTATGACTCATGGACTTCAACTCCCAGAATTCCTGAGCTAGCCATGCTGAGGGAAAAGGGAGAGGTTTCCAAGCTGAGCCAGGCTGGCTCAGGAATTCTGGGAGTTGAAGTCCACGAGTCATGAGGGGGCCATAGTTCCCTCATGCTGGCTGAGGAATTCTGGGAATTGAAGTCCACGAGTCATGAGGGGGCCATAGTTCCCTCATGCTGGCTCAGGAATTCTGGGAGTTGAAGTCCACGTGTCATAAAAGGGCCAAGTTTGAAGAGCCCTATACTATCTAGTGCAGGGGAAGGAAACCTTGGCTCTTTTATGACTCGTGGACTTCAACTCCCAGAATTCCTGAGCCAGCATGGCTCAGCTTGGAAACCTCTCCCTTTCCCCTCAGCGTGGCTGGCTCGGGAATTCTGGGAGTTGGAGTCCACGAGTCATAAAAGAGCCCGGGTTCCCCACCCCTGGCCTAAATGAATGGTTTCAATCGGTTCTAACTTATTCCGAGTCGCTCCGTTTTGTCCAACTCACTCATCATTCCTCCCGCTCTTTTCTCCCTCCGCCAGGTGAGAGGATTCTGGGCTACGCCGAAGAGCCTTGCTACCTGTGGTTCGTCATGGAGTACTGCGAAGGGGGAGACCTGAACCAGTACATCCTCTCGCGCCGGCCCGACCCGGCCACCAACAAGAGCTTCATGCTCCAGCTGACCAGCGCCATCGCTTTCCTGCACAAGAACCACATCGTCCACAGGGACCTGAAGCCGGACAACATCCTGATCACCGAGCAGTCGGGTGCGCCGGTGCTCAAAGTGGCCGATTTTGGGCTCAGCAAGGTGTGCGCCGGCTTGGCCGCCCGAGGCAAGGAGGGCGGGAAGGACGACAAAAATGTGAATGTGAACAAGTACTGGCTGTCCTCGGCCTGCGGCTCGGACTTCTACATGGCTCCCGAAGTGTGGGAGGGACACTACACCGCCAAGGCGGACATCTTTGCGCTGGGCATCATCATCTGGGCCATGATTGAGCGGATAACCTTTATCGATGGGGAGACCAAGAAGGAGCTCTTGGGGACTTACATCAAGCAGGGGACGGAGATTGTACCTGTGGGGGAAGCGCTGCTGGAGAACCCAAGGATGGTGTTGCACATTCCTCAGAAACGCAGGACTGCCATGTCTGAAGGGATCAAGCAGCTGCTGAAGGACATGTTGGCTGCTAATCCCCAGGACCGACCGGATGCCTTTGAGCTGGAATCCAGGATGGACCAGGTTACTTGCGCTGCTTAAACTCAGGTCAAAGCGTTGGCGGGCTCTGAAAGACAGGGTAAGGGTCCTTCCGTTCCTCTGTCCTGGTCGCCAGGCATATGATGATGATGATGATGATAATAGTAATAGTAATAATAACAATAATAGTAACAATAGTAGTAATAGTAATAATAATAATAGGATGCTGGTAGCAACCTGTGTCAACCATCAGCACCAGCCAATTTGAATGTTCAGTTGACTGAGGTTCACGTCTAATGAATAAAAGATAATGGTGATGATGATGTTGGAAGGAACTTTGGAGGTCATCTAGTCCAATCCCCTGCTCTGGCAGGAAACCCTATACCAGGGGTAGGCAACCTTGGCTCTTTTATGACTCATGGGCTTCAACTCCCAGAATTCCTGAGCCAGCCATGCTGAGGGGAAAGGGAGAGGTTTCCAAGCTGAGCCGTGCTGGCTTAGGAATTCTGGGAGTTGAAGTCCACAAGTCATGAGGGGGCCATAGTTCCCCCATGCTGGCTCAGGAATTCTGGGAGTTGAAGTCCACAAGTCATAAAAGAGCCAAGGTTGCCTACCCCTGCCCTATACCCTTTCACACAAATGGCTGCCCAGTCTCTTCGTAAAAACTTCCAGTGATGGAGCATTCACAGCTTCTGGGGGCAGGTGATTCCACTGGTTAATTATCCTCACTGTTAGGAAATTTCTCCTTAGTTATATTGAAATGATGTTGCCATGAATTGAAGCAACAGGTTGTGGAACTGCTGGAAAGGTGATAGCAATAGCAAAACCCCTAGACTTATATGTCGCTTCATAGTGCATTTACAGTGCTATCTAAGTGGTTTACAGAGTCAGCCTTTTGCCCCCAACAATCCGGGTCCTCATTTTACTGACTTCAGAAGAGTGGAAGGCTGAGTCAACCTTGAGCCGGTCAGGATCGAACGCTTGGCAATGGGCAGAATTAGCTTGCAATACTGCATTCTAATAGATAGATTTGGACAGATGGACAGATGGACAGACAGACAGACAGACAGATAGATGTAGAGATAGACAGATAGATAGCTAGAGAGAGAGACAGATAGATAGATAGATAGATAGATAGATAGATAGATACTCAGATAGATAGATAGATAGATAGATAGATAGATAGATAGATAGATAGATAGATAGATAGATAGATTTAACTTATTACTAGCTTATCAACTGCAGTGATTCACTAAACAACTGTGGTTGTAAAGTGGGGCAAAACCCACTTAACAAACGTCTCAGTGGAAATTTTGGGCTTAATTGTGTCCGCAAGTTGAGGACTACCTGTGCTACAAACTCCACCATATACAGGTGGTCCTCGGCTTACGTCCAGAATGTCTATTGCTAAGCAAGGCGGGTTGTTAAGCGAGTCGCACCTGATCTTTTGTGGTCTTTTTTGCTAGGGATCTGGCTTCCCCTATTGACTCCCTTTGTCGGAAACCAGCTGAGAGTGTCGCTAATAACGATCACGTGATCCTAGGACGGGGGGGGTAGGCAATCTCGGCTCTTTTATGACTCATGGACTTTAACTCCCAGAATTCCTGAGTCAGCGTGCCTGGCTGAGGAATTCTGGGAGTTGAAATCCACAAGTCGTAAAAGGGCCGAGTTGGAAGACCCCTGACCTAAAGCAATGTTTCCAAAACCTGGCCACTTTAAGACTCATGGACTTCAATTCCCAGGATTCCTCAGTCCAGGCACGCTGACTGAGGAATTCTGGGAGTTGAAGTCCATGAGTCATAAAAAAAACGAGGTTGCCAACCCCTGTCCTAGGATGCTGCAGCTGTCATAAATCATGCCAGTTGCCAAACTCCCAAATGTTGATCAGATGATCCTGGGGACGTTGCGACAATTATAACTTGAGAAGGAGCAGTTGTAAGTTTTTAAGTGCCGTTGTAACTTTGAATGGTTGCTAAATGGATGGTTGTGAAAGTAGGTAGCGCTATGTCCCAACTGTAATATATTTTAATTGATTACATTGATGGATAACGATGTGAATGTAGCAAGCTGCATATGCTTATTTCAGGGGCTTCAAACTTGGCCCTTTTATGACTTGTGGACTTCAACTCCCAGAATTCCTCAGCCGGGCATGCCTGGCTAGGGAATTTTGGGAGTTAATAATAATAATAATAAAGTTGGAAGGGACCTTGGAGGTCATCGAGTCCAAACCCCTGCTCAGGCAGGAACCCTACACCATTTCAGACAAATGGCTGTCCAGTCTCTTCTTAAAAACTGGACAGCCATTTGTCCGAAATGGTATAGGCTTTCCTGCCTGAGCAGGGGGTTGGACTAGATGACCTCCTAGGTCCCTTCCTACTACTACTACTACTACTACTACTACTACTACTACTTCTTCTTCTTCTTCTTCTTCTTCTTCTTCTTCTTCTTCTTATTATTATTATTATTATTATTATTATTATTATTATTATTATTATTATTATTATTCTGACCTATTGTTTGGAAGGGAAGTTAAGTCTTTACTACTACCACTATGAATTTAAGATCTTGGTCCAGGTAAAGAACTTTCTGGAACTTTTCCTCTCTTTTCCAAGGCAGGGTGGTCTTGCTCTTCAGCTGTAGGTGGAAAGGAGACGCTCCTCAATTTACGACCAGAACATTTGCTGTTAAGCAAGGTGGCTGTTAACATGAATCAGGCCCAAGTTTTACCTTTTTTGACCACTGTTCTTAAGCGAGTGTCTCTTTTTGTAACCTCGGGCACTAAACGAACGGTTGTAGAACAAGGACTGCCTGTAGCTTCTCCTGACCGGTGTTGCGCAACCTGAGCAAATTTTAAGAGGCTGGCTGGGGAGCGTTCTGGGAGTTATAGTCCACGCCTCGCTGAGGTTGAGAGAGCGTGGCTGGGCGGCAGAGTCTTGAGGCCGGCCGTGATTGACTTCACCCACTGCTCACACGTCAAGTTCAACCGGGGTGTGTGTGTGTGTGTGTTTTTGTGTGTGTCTGTTTTTCCTTTTGGCTTCAAGCAAGGCCAGCAAACAACAGGCAGACACGCAGAGGCTGTCTCTCTAGAGACATTCCAGGCGTAGCAAGATGCTTTCCAAACATCGCTGTGTCACGAACAACAACGGTTCCCGCGCTTTGGCGGGCTCTGAAGTAGCACAACAGATAGACTCCTTGGGGGTCCGCTGTCTTCCGTTGTGTTTGTGGGTCACTGTAGAAGCCAGTGAGGAAGGGGGAACCGCTAACCGTGGTCTGCAATTTTAAATAATTGCCTGCTTGCTGTCAGGCCAACCCCTCCCATATTGTGCTAACTGAATTTGAGCCTGGGGTGGCTAAGGGGAATTCTTCTCTTTGGAGAGGCTTCTGCGCCTGCAAATTGGCTGTCAGGAACAACAGTTTTGAGAGATCTTCCTTTTTTTTTTTTTTTTTTTTTTCTTTTGGTTTTTTCCCTGCCCTGCTGCTTCAAGGGGAACAGCGGGTGCCCTTAAAAAGAGCATTTTGCATTTGGGCTCCAAATAGGAAGAAGAGAGCGTGGAAACAGATGCTTTTCTACAGAGCAGTTTGAAGGATTTTATTTACTAAAAGGTAGGGGGTAGTATATTACCCACTAGGCCAGGGGTCTTCAAACTTGGCAACTTTTAAGACTTGTGGACTTCAACTCCCAGAATTCAAGTTGCCAAGTTTGAAGACCACTGCAGTAGGCTGTCCACCCCTGTGTTAGAACGAGGAGGAATACTACTACTACTACTAATAATAATAATAATAATATGGGTAAGGACTCGATAGGTAGACAAAATGCCAAATCCAGTCTGAACATCTGGCTGACTGTGCGATGATCCATAATAATGATGATGATGATGATGATGATGATGATGATGATGATGATGATGATGATGATGATAATAAAGTTGGAAGGGACCTTGGAGGTCATCTAGTCCAACGCCCTGCTCAGGCAGGAAAGCCTATACCATTTCGGACAAATGGCTGTCCAGTTTCTTCTTAAAAACTTCTAGTGTTCGAGCATTCATCGCTTCTAGAGGCAGGTGGTTCCACTGGCTAATTGTTCTCACTGTCAGGAAGTTTCTCCTTAGTTCTAGGTTGCTTCTCTCCTTGATGAGTTTCCATCCGTTGCTTCTTGTCCTGCCTTCAGGCACTTTGGAAAATAGCTTGACTCCCTCTTCTTTGGGGCAGCCCCTGAGATACTGGAACACCGCTATCCTGTTCCCCCCCCCTCATCCTTCTCTTCGTTAGACTAGACATCCCCAATTCCAGCAGCCTCTCCTTATGTGTTTTAGCCTCCTGTCCCCTAATCATCTTTGTTGCTCTTCTCTGTACTCTTTCTAGAGTCTCAGCATCTTTTTTACATCGCGATGACCAAATTGAGAAAAAGATGTCGGATTACTTGGCAGAAATTTGACAATAGAACCAGTTGGGTATAGTGGTGAAGGTGCCCGACTAGAAACCAGGAGACTGAATTCTAGTTTCGCCTTAGGCGTGAATGCAGCTTTAGGCCAATCACCAGTTTTAGTTGTGCCTTAGGAATGAAAGCAGCTGGGTGACTTTGCGCCAGTCACCTGGAGACGGGGAGTTCCAGTCTCACCTTAGGAATGAAAGCGACTGGGTGACTTTGCGCCAATCACCAGGAGACAGGGAGTTCTAGTCCCGCCTTGGGCATGAAAGCCAACAAGGTGACTTTGGGCCAATCTCCAGGAGATGGTGAGTTCTAATCCCACCTTAGGCATGAAAGGCAGCTAGGTGAGTTTGGGCCAATCACCTGGAGATGGTGAGTTCTAGTGTCATCTAGGCAGGAAAGCCAGTTGGGTGACTTTGCGCCAATCGCCAGCAGACGGTGAGTTCTAGTCCCGCCTTAGGCATGAAAGCCAGAGGGGTGACTTTGGGCCAGTCATTCTCTCAGCCCACCCCCACCTCACAGAACGGTGGTTGGGAAAAAAAATAGGAGAAAAAAAGTCAGGATTAAAAAAAAAATGAATTAGTTAACATTACGAAACACAAATATGGGTATTTTAAGGTGCAGAAGGTTAGGAACCCATGGCCATTGAGAGGAGCTACTTGTCATTTCCT